TTGTTGAAAAATATCAAGATGTTTGGCAATCATCCATCGGACGAGTGGTTACAACATATAAATTAAACATAAACTAATTGATAAGCTTAAGAGTGCCAAAAACAGGGACAGGCAAAGGGTGGGGATTAAGGGCTCGCTAATCATCCAGATTGTAGACCAGTTTGCGGATAAAACTAACTGAACCCGATTAATAACAAATAATGAGGGTAGTGATATGAAATATAAATTGATATAAATCGAAAATATGATTTATAATGTAGGTTGATATTTATCAAATTCAATTAATTTACTAACTCGTTTTTAGACTACATTTTAGTTTTTAAGTTTATTTGAAATTATGTGAAATTTTTAAACCTGCTTATTCCCGTGTAAACCAGAATGAATTAATGCATAATTTAAACTTAGCTGGTGTAAAATTAAAGATATAAATTATAAATTTTATTTGATTTATTAATTTGTTATAAAGCCCTCTATGGGTTACATCAAATATGAATTTAATTTAGATAAATGAAAATCCTTGATTTGTAGTAAACTTGATGTCAATTTTATGAATGAATGTTATGTAATTTGTGTTAATGAATATTAAAATAAAAACAAGTATTGTAATAAAATTGTAAATGATGGAAAATTTGTGCATAATATTTGCTGAATTTTTAAAAATCTAGATTTTACTAGATCAAAATTAATATAAACATCCGTTGATTTTGACAGACATAATATTAAAACTTTAAATATCATGTTATCTGAATTTTAATTATATATTTCTATTTTAATTAATGCTTTCATTGTTAGGAAATGTTATAAATATGCCCTGTTATATTTATGCTAAATGTATTTATACACTTTTAAACTAATACAAATTTTTGCAATTTATAAAAGTACAAAATAGTTTAATACAGTGAAATAAACTTCACAAGAATTTATAGCATTTTAATGAATTAAAACAAAATAACATATTTACAAAACCGTTGCCAATTATATTTGAATCTTATAAATTTTATTTGCATGATTTATATCTATTTTATAATATTGTGAATAATTATACTTAAACTTTTCCTTTAGTAGTATTATTTTTATTATGCTTACGGGTTTATAAAATAATCTTTTAATTAAATAATAATTACACATAATATTTACAATTAATTTACACTTTCTTACTATTTACTATAAAATTAAAATAGTTTATTGAAACAATTATAAATATTTACATAGATATGCTGTTAAGTAAATAAAATTAATTAAAAAAATTGCTTTCAAATTTTCGAGGAAATTTTAAATTGTTATTATAATACTTAATATATTAGAAATAATATATTGTATTTTATTTTATTGTAATAGTCTTCTTAGTTACGTAATCATTGATAGGTTTATTAAGTATAATAACAATAATTGCAATATTTATAACATACTGTATAAATATACTGTATTCAGAATTGCGATTGCACTGGTAATACATGATTGTACCTATTAATTATTCATAAAATTAGTGTTGCCTAATATTTTTATAGCATGTTTTTTAAATACATATTCAATACAATGATTACTAAGAATATTAATTTCTTAATATTATATTATTGTAATTTATTAAATCATTATTAAAGAGTTAGCAGTTTGTAGACATCACTTGACTTATAGTCTATAAGTTTCTAAAGAATATTGTGGTCTATACGACAAAATACGACAAAAAATTAATTGACATTCAAATTGACTACAATTATCAAAATTAATTTCCTTTTTCGATAACATATAAGATGTAAATAAGTTAATCACAAATATGTATAAAATACTACTAATTATAACTGCATTGATTGTGGATTTGTATATAACGTATGGTATGTGCGCCAGTGTTAGCGTAAGTGCCACCGGGAGTGGAAGTAGTGGGGCATCTGTGTCTGTGAATGTACCTGGTAATAGTGGCACAAATGGAGGCAATGGTGTAGCTGTGAGTGTTGGCGTTAATGGAGGTTCAGGTACAAGTGGTTCAGGAGGGACTGGTGGCGGTGTCGCACAGGTAACTGTCAATACAAATGGTAGTCAACAGCAGTGGACATATGTGAACACTGGTAACGGTGGGTATGGAGGCCTGGGTGGATATAATGGAGGTGCTGGTGGTGGCTATGGGGCTGATGGCGGTGGATATGGCTATGGAGACTAAATCAACATTTTATAAAACATTATTATAGTTAATGTTAATTGAATTTAATTTTAAATAATATGTATGCACAATAATAGTTTTATTGATTATAACAAATTAAATACATTAAAATAATTGGCATTTGTAGCGGTTTATAAAATTAATTAATTAAATCTAGCATAAATTTCAAAATATTTTACAAATTAAGCTATTGGTACTTTAGTTCTCAATAAAAACATATTTAATAATGAGTAGGGTATTAATTTAAGTAAAAGGCAAATAGAGTATAATATTATCGTTGATTTAATTCAATTTACGAATATAATTTAAATTATAACTTATAAAATAAGACATTAAATATTTAATACATTACTTTCCCTCACTTTCCATTACTGGTTACATATACTGTAACCATATCTACTAATACAGTATACATATTTCAGTAATTATTTTATATTGAATAAAATAACAAAATATTTTCAATAATAGTAATTTTGGATCTCATTAATAGCCATAAACTGAATAAAATATTTTCAAACCCCCCTAAAATAGTCTAAAGTTTTGTATTCCTGGCATCGGAGTGGTAGCCATTAAACGACTGATTAATATGCGCTTTCATATGGTGTACGTCCGGACCTACATGTCCGACATCGACAAACACACTACCGGTGCCCATCGATCGCATCCTATATTCAGGCGTTGAGTTTCCGTTCACTGAATTCTCTCTCCATTTATATCCATCGCTATTATTATTATTACTATTTTTATGATTATTGGTCTCCATATGTCTCTTATGATTATAGTCCGATTCAATAGGCTTTCCGTTGACCGTATGAATGAATATTTGGGACGGATTTTCATCGATATTCCTCTGCATCTGATCCTTCACCTCTTCAGCCGTACTTTTGGGATGCTTTTTGAACATAAGACTCAATACATTACTCCAAACGCTTTCAAATAACAGGTATAGCAGTAGCGACAGAAACATTGAATACAAGATTACGCCACCGGTTGCGTAAACCTGAAATAAAATCATATTTAATATACACGCAGAATATAAATCTGTACATGATGATATAGTGTATATTTAATTGCGTGAATTACAAATACATACAAAGTCTCTATACGTGAATCTAATCAACTCTCGGGTCTCCAACACGAAATACCAAACGACCAAAATGTGTGTCAAATATACGGAAAATGACAGTCGACTCAACGGTATGAAGAATTTTGAGCCCAAGAATCGTGTCAATAGACCTGAAAAATAAAGTTTTACTACTATTTGGATATTTTATAATACATTTAGTATAACAAAACATTGAATTACTTTTACTATTAGCCGAGCAATAAATGGCAATCCAGGCGTACATTAAAATATACACAAATCGATGTAAACCAGAGTAGGCGGCGGCGGTAGCCTTACTGTACTCCCACTCGAGACCCGTCCA